ACTCATATGCAACCTTTTACACCTGGACAATCCCTTCCAATGCCTGACAGCCCTTTCCATGGAGGAATTCCTCCTGATGTCCCACCTGAACCTCCCCTGCCACAGCCCCCATCACCCTCCCACATCGAACTCACCATGAGTGATCCCTTTGTTCCCTGCGCAGCTCGGACAGAGCTGCTGGAGCATCTCGGTGGGAACTGCTCCCTGTCAGCTGGTTTCTGTGGAGAACAGAGCACTTCTGTGCTCCAGCCTCCTTTCACACTGCAGCCTTCGCTGCTAATTAGCCTGTCTTGGTCTGCATCGCCCTAATTATTCCAGTTGGCCCTAAATCCTGCCTGCTCCACTGCCATCCATTGAAATGGCATTTGCAATTATTTTGAGGTGAACATTTGAATATATTTACATGACTGAACCAGATCAAGATAGCTGGAAGGAGCAGCACTGTCTTGTTAATGGCTCTGACTCTCCTCAGTGCTGCAAAAGTGCCAGAGGTGTTGGGTGTCTCCCTGATGTACATCCCAACATATCCACTTTTGACTTTTATCTCGGATGTCAGGATGCAGTTCAGACTGTTTAACCTGGGTATGTTACAGAGCAGCTGGAGAGCCACAAAACTAGTTTTAGTGGTGATGCTACTGTGCTGCAGGGCTGAGGAAGGGCATCCCATGGCTAGCAGAGAGGCACTGCCTGGGCTGGCACAGGGGCACTGCCTCTCCATGCCCAGGGAACCTGCTGGTATGAATGAGCAGAAGTGGGTAATCATGGAATCACAATATATCCTAAGTTGGAAGGGACCCACAAGAATCATTGATCCAACTCTGGGCCCTGCACAGGACACCCCAACAATCCACCCTGTGCCTGAGAGTGTTGTCCAAATACTCCTTGAACTCTGTCAGGCTCTGACCACTGCCCTGGGGAGCTGTTCCCGTGCCCAAACACCTCTGGGGGAAGAGCCTTCTCCTAATATCCACCTAACCCTCCCCTGACACAGCTTCATAAAGTCCAAGCAGGTGGATGGGAGCAGTGTGGGTGGTGGATTGGGATGTCAGGGCTGGAAGGAGGGAGCAGAACGAGTGCCTGGCAGGGAGGACAGGGTCAGGGAGGCTGCCTGGTCCAGGCTCTCTTGCCAATTCTCTGCCCAGCAGGGCTCTGCGTGGGCTGCTGCTAAATGTGCTTCTTCGTGGAGAGAGTTGAGAGCAGCAAATCTTTTCTGGAGCAGTTCTGTGGCCTGTCAGCAAAACCCCAGGCATGGATGGCCGTTCCCTACGCTCCATGCAGCTCCCGCCCCAGCCACATAATCACAACGAACTGGAAATCCCGGGGTGAGCCCAGGGGAGGATTGCAAAACCTGCAACTGGGGCGGACGGGGGAGGGAGCGGGAAGCGGTGCCAGCCTTCCCGGGATCCCTCCGGGCACTTGCAGGCACTGCAGCCTCCTGCTGGGTGTCCTGCCTAGCCCCGGAAAAACCAACAACTCCTTGTGCCAGATGAAGTTTGCAGGATTTCTCCATCAGGTCAGTGTCCAGAGGCAGGGCAGGGTGTTGAGCACAGCCTCTTGGCTGTCGGATAGTTGAGTTTGTCAGTGTTCATTCTAACGAGTAACGGCTTCTCCTGGCTCAGACTTTTGAAATTTGCATGAGATGCTTTTGTTTTTCTGCCGTTTCAGTTTCCCCCTCCCCTGTGACCGCAGGGTTGAATGAAAGAAATGTAGGAAGGAGGCAGGTGGCTGAGCAGGGAGGAGTGGTGGAGTGCTGAGTCGGGTCAGGGAGGGAGGAGAGCTGCAGGGAGGGTTTGGGCTCATCTGGGATGGAACAGGCTCTCTGTAAAGTGCTTTTTTAAAGCTCTGAGTGGGTATGCAGGGCCTCCCCTCTCCACAACGTTCCTGAAGCTTTGCTGCAGCTGCAAACCTGTTTCTGCATAGAAACAGTGCAGAAATTATCTCTTTGGGTGTGCACTAAGACACTTTAATTACCTGCTGGGTGGAAGGCACCGAGCCTGGGAGGTGCTGATATGTGAAGGAGGTGATGAAATCCTGTGATGGTGTCAGCGTCATGCCCAGAGCCAGGCTGGGCACTGTGTCCTGCTCCTCTGACCTGCTCCTCTGCTGTCTCTCCTGCAGATGCCCGTGGCATTGGACACTCACTAGCTGAGAGCTGAAGCCCCCCAGCCTGTGCCCAGGAGAACAGGATGCGGCTCACCATGCGCAGGGTGCTGCTGGTGCTGGGCTCCGTGGTCGCCCTGATGGTGACTCTACACCTGGGCCAGCAGGTCCTGGAGTGCCAGCGGATCCTGAAGGAGAGGAGGCACAGGCTGATGAGACCCGAGAACGAGGAGCTGGTGATGATGGATGCCAACCACGTGGAGTATCGCTACAGCAAGGACATGCCCCTGATCTTCGTCGGCGGCGTCCCCCGCAGCGGCACCACGCTGATGAGGGCCATGCTGGACGCGCACCCCGAGGTGCGCTGCGGGGAGGAGACACGCATCATCCCCCGCGTGCTGGCCATGCGCCAGGCCTGGTCCAAGTCCGGCCGGGAGAAGATGCGCCTGGACGAGGCAGGAGTGACCGACCAGGTTCTGGATGCTGCCATGCAAGCCTTCATCCTGGAAGTGATCGCCAAGCACGGCGAGCCCGCCAGGTATCTGTGCAACAAGGATCCCTTCACGCTCAAGGGCCAAGTTTTTCCCCAACTCCAATTTCCTGCTGTTGGTGAGGGATGGACGAGCTTCTGTCCACTCTATGATCACGAGGCAAGTGACAATTGCAGGATTTGATCTGAACAGCTACCGGGACTGCCTGACCAAGTGGAACAAAGCCATCGAGGTGATGTACTCGCAGTGCCTGGAGGTCGGCCGGGCACGCTGCCTGCCTGTCTACTACGAGCAGCTGGTGCTGCACCCTGAGCAGTCCATGCACAACATCATGAAGTTCCTGGACATCTCCTGGAGTGACACAGTGCTGCACCACGAGGAGCTCATCGGGAAGCCTGGCGGGGTGTCGCTCTCCAAGTGAGTCTCATGGCATCATGGTATGGTTTGGGTTGGAAGGACCTTAAAGATCTTCTTGTTCCAACCCCTGCCATGGGCAGGGACACTTTCCACTGGCCCAGGTTGCTTCAAGCCCTCTCCAGTCTAGCCTTGATCACTCCCAGGGATGGAGCAGCCACAGCTTCTCTGGGCAACCTGTGCCAGTGCCTCAGCACCTCACAGGGAGGAATTTTTTCTCAATATGCTGTTTCACCCTGCCCTCTGGCAGTGAGAAGCCATTCCCCTTTATCCTGTCCCTCCAGGCCCTTGGAAATAGTCTCTCTCCATCTTCTTTTAGTCTCCCTTCAGGTACTGGAAGGTCACAATTAGGTCACCCCAGAGCCTTCTCCTTTCCAGTCTGAACAATCCCAGCTCTCTCAGCCTTTCCTCACAGCAGAGATGCTCCATCCTTCTGATCACCTTGGTGCCTCCTCTGGACACACTCCAACAGGTCCATGTCCTTCCTGTGCTGGGACCCCAGAGCTGGAGGAACACTGCAGGTGGGGTCTCACCTGAGCAGAGCAGGGGGGGCAGGCTCCTTCCTCAGCTTCTTCCTCAGCTTTTCAAGGAGCACTTTCCTAACACAAAGCAGGGCAAGGCTGAAACAGGGCAAAGCCATATTGCTGGTGTCTATCTGTGCTTTTCAGGGGCAGAAGGAGCAGCACATCAATTATACTGCACTAGGGTTTGTGTTTCTGTGTAAAAGATGGCTTTAATGCTCTCAATCTGTTGTACTCCATGGAGCAGCTTGTCAAGCAAGGATTTCAGGAGCAGGTGACTGTTTAATCTCTCTTGACACTGCAGAAATTATTTCAGTCTCTAATTTGCAAAGAACTGCTTGCTCTGAAACGTGAGCTCCTTAATGCCTCTTTCTCCACCCGTCCTCAGATGCCTCCTTGGCGTGATTAGTTGTGCTGCTAATGAAGATGAGCAGCAGTTCCTGCCAGGTCTGGGGCTGGGATTGCAGGATAAAAGCAATACCTGCTCTGTGGAGGCACACCCTGCACTCCCTCCTGGCTGCCTCCGTGTGCTGAGAGTGTTTACCTTCTCCCACCTTCTTTTCCTCTTTTAATGCTTTTTCCTTTCTGAATGGAGGCTTAAGTCAGGCTTAGCAAAATTTAATCAGCTGTGTAAGGGAATTATCCAAGTCTTCGTATCAATTGCTGTGCCCTGGGGGTGAGGGCAGCAAGAGCCACGAGGGGACATGCAGCTGCTCCCGTGCTCTGGGAGGCTCTGGGTGTGTACTGGGCTCTGCTTCCCTTTTGCTCAGAGAAAATTCGGCCCAGGTGGCTTAAAAAGGTAAGATTTGGGGTTTTCAGAGGGGCTCTGTGGTGTGTCTGTGCTACAGCCACACATCTGTAATAAGCAGAGGTGTCCTGGTGACCCCAGTGCAGGATGGATCCCTCTCTAGGATAAGAGGAAACAACCTCATGTTGCACCTGGGGAGGTTTAGATTGGATCTTAGGGAACATTTCTGTGTGGAAGGGGTGGTGAGGCACTGGCACACGCTGCCCAGGGCAGTGGTGGAATCGCCGTCCCTGGAGGGATTTAACAGATGTGTAGATGTGGCACTTGGGGACAGGGGCAGTGGTGGCCTTGCAGTGCTGGGGGAGCAGTTGGACTCAATGATCTTAGAGGTTGGGGAGACATATATTTACACATACATGGAAGAAATTCCTCCATGTGAGGGTGCTGAGGTACTGGCACAGGTTGCCCAGAGAAACTGTGGCTGTCCCATCCCTGGGAGTGTTCCAGGTCAGGTTGGATGGGGCTTGGAGCAACCTGGGCTGGTGGAAGGTGTCCCTGTCCATGGCAGGGGGTGAAATGAGATGATCTTCAAGGTCCTTCCAACCCAAACCAGCCTGGGATTCTGTGTTGAGATGTCAGCCAACCTGGCTGGAGGCTGTCCTGTCTGAGCCCTGAATGTGTGTGAAATCCAACCTGGTCTTTTTTTTTTTCTTTCCCCAGGATAGAAAGATCAACAGACCAGGTGATCAAGCCAGTGAACATGGAGGCATTATCCAAGTGGATTGGGCACATCCCTGAGGATGTGCTGCAGGACATGGCTCACATTGCCCCGATGCTCGCCCGGCTTGGCTACGACCCCTACGCCAACCCACCCAACTATGGCCACCCCGACCCCCTGGTTGTCAACAACACGCACAGAGTGAGTGTCACTGCCATGGGGGGAGCACTGATGGGGGGACAGGGGCCTCACAGAGCTCTCCAGAGCAGGGTAAAGAGCAGGGTGGGGGACAGACGTGGAATCACAGAATCACTGAGGTTGGAAAAGACCTCCCAAGATCATTGAATCCAACCTATGACCCATCACTACCTTGTCAGCTAGGCCAGACCATTGAGTGCCACATCCAGTCTTTCCTTGAATGCCTCCAGGGATGGTGACTCCACCACCTCCCTGGGCAGCTGAATCCAAAGCCTGACAGCCCTTTCCATGGAGAAATTTCAACCTGAACCTCTCCTGGCACATCTTGAGGTATTTCATCTGGTCCTGTCCCTTGTTCCCTCGAAGTGGAGCCTGACCCCACCTGGCTGCACCTCCTGGCAGGGAGCTGTTGAGAGTGAGTTCCCCCTGAGCTTCCTTTTCTCCAGACTGTGTCCCCACAGCTCCCTCAGCCACAGCTTGTGCTCCAGCCCCTTCCTCTGCTCCATTTCCTTTTCTGGACACCTCCAGCCCCTCAATGTCTGTCTTGTCATGAGGTTTTCAGACATGGACACAAGGCTTGAGGTGGATTCTGTCCCTGGGGGAGGCTGGGAATGGCCAACAGTCACCCTGAGGTGATCCAGTCCAGCTGTGTGCAGCAGATGGAGCCTAGTGTGGTGGTACTGCCCATGATTTGGTGGTGCTGTTTGTTTGTGCTGCTGTGGCAGGTCCTGACCTGTCCCTCCCTGATCCTGCCCCACTCCTGAACCCAGTGTGGGTGTTCTGGTGTGTGCTGGTGGTGTCTGTGGGCACTGTACCCCGGTCAGGCCCCAGTCAGACCTGCAGGCTGTGTCCATGTGTAGCTCCACAGCCACTCCCATGCTCCCACCAGGAATTCAAGTGGAAACTCTGCCTTTAGGCAAAACCAGCAGACTTATTTTTGTTTGAAATATTGACTCATGTCCTTGGAGCAGAGCTGGAAGGAAGGAGCTGCAGTCCCAGCCAGCAGTTACTAAGCAGAGGGAGGTTCCCTTGTTTGGGGTGGGGCTCTGCAGCCCCCCAGCTCCCTGTGACAGTGCCCTTGGATGAGGTATCATGTGGCACACTGGTGGGAGCAGGCTGGGATCAGGCTCCAGGGTACTCTGGGCAGGCAGCAGCACTGACCTGGGAGGTGGGAAGAGCTTCCCTGGAGCTGGTCCATGCTCCAAGCACTCTGGGCTCTCACAGCTGCTCACTGGAGGATTTGGGTGAACATCTGGGCAGGGGCTCTTTGGGTCTCTGATGTGAACTTCTCTTTGGTTTTTGGATGGATTTGGAGAACAGGCATGATGCTAAAACCAAAATACTGTCCCCTCCCAGGCTAAGGAGGTATTGGGAATTGCTCGTGTCATTTCCTTGCACCCACAGGATGCTGCTCACTCTCTAGAGTGAAATAGGAGGAAACCCCATTTTTGCTTCAATATCACACCATGATGTAGAGCAAACACCAATCAGGGTGTTTGAGCTGGTTCAGGTGTTCTGGAACATGGGGCACAGGTAATGGGGTGCACTGACTGATGCTCGCAGAGCCACTGCCCTGGAAAGGTCACTCCAGACTCTTTTTCCCACAGGTTTTAAAGGGGGACTATAAAACACCGGCCAATCTGAAAGGGTATCTGCAGGTAAGAGTCTGACATGCCCCGAGGGTTTGTCTTTTGGGGTAATCCTGGGTGCCTGGGCCCTGGCTCCCTCCTAGGGGTGCCTGCAGGCTGGGCAGTCCCCAGGGAATGTCCCTGCTCCATGGGGACAGTGTGCCTGTCCTTCCTGCCATGCACCTCTCCCACTCTTACTGTTGGTGTCCTGTGAGTTCTGTGCTCCTCACATCCTGCTCATTCCTCTCTGCCACCTCCTTTCTGCTCAGCTCCTGTGGGAGGTGTTCCCAGCAAAGTGGGAATGTGCCGCTGGTGCTCTGCCCTTGTGCTGTGTTCTGTCTCCCAAAAATTCCCTTCCCTTGCTGCTGGGAATGCAGTGGGAATGTTTTGAGCTGCAGATGGTGGCTCAGAGCTGACCCTTCTGTTTCTGGGTTATTCCAGGTCACTCAGAACACATCATCTTCTCACTAACAAAATTAATGATTTCCAGGTAAGACACTGATATTTAATTTGGGGATTTGGGCCAAGCTGCCTGTGATGCTCTAGGATTGGTGTTTGGCTATGTGATTCCTGTGGATTAGCCCCAGCTCCAGGCACACTCCCCATGCTAAGGATCCTAAGTTGCCTTAGGCCTTCAGAACAATGCTGAGATGTGAGACTATTTGTCAGGAATTCTTTCCCCTGCACTGGGAACAGGCTGAGAACAGCAAAATGAGCTGCTTGGGAGGGTCATTGTGGGTGTGGGATGTGTGGATGGGCTGAACTGCTCCCCAGCTGCCTCCAGGACGTGCCATGGACCCGAGGAAAGGGGCAGAGAACAAAGGAGAACATGCTGGAAAACGAAGCTGCTGCCCTGGGCTCCTGCTCCAGGTCAGCTGTTGACGTGTCGGATGTTCTTTCTCTGGCCTAAAGCAAAATATGTCATGTTTGGTACTGGAACTGACCTGTTAGGAACTAGTTTCTGTGTAAAAGCAGTTAGTTGTGCTGGAAAAAGGATTGGAAGCACTGAGGGAGGATCAGGCATTGTGTGTCCTCTGTCCTGGGCTGGGATCTGGCTCCTTCCTGACCATATTCTGTGTCAGAGGCTTTAAGCCCTTGCTATGCTGCTCTGAGGGGATCCTGTCCCTGGGGGGATCCAGTCCCTGAGGGGATCCTGTCCTTGAGGGCATCCTGCTCCTGAGGAGATCCTTCCTCCAAGGGAATCCTGCCCCCAAGAAGATACTTCCCCCAAGGGGATCCTTCACCCAAGAGATCCTGCCCCTAAAGGAATCCTGTCCCTGAGGGAATCCTTCCCCCAAGGGAATCCTGCTCCTGAGGTGATCCTTCCCTTGAGGACATCCTTCCCCTGAGAGGATCCTTCCCCCAAGGGGATCCCAGCCTGAGGCCATGTGTTTCTCTCTTCCAGCCTTTTGTTGCCCCAGAAGGAGGAGTTTGCACTGGGCCCATGGAAATCTGTTCTCCAAGCATATTGCTTGCTCCTACTGTTGCCAAATGACTGCGCTCCAGGAATGTATTTGCATTTATTTGCAAAGGCCAAACGTGCTCGGTGGCAGGAACGTCCTGGACCTCTCCAGCGCCGCGTGGGGATCCCACCCGGGAGGAGACGCCGTGTGCCGCGGCCAGAGGCTCTCACAGCATGTCCCTGTGGCTCCCAACGCCCTTCCCTGTGCCCAGGGCTGGGACAGCCCTCCCAGCCCCGTCCTTCTCTGTTCCTGGGGCTGGGAACAGCCGTCCTGGTCCTGCTGTTCTGTGTTCCTGGGGTCGGGAACAGCCACCTCAGCCCTGCTGTTCTCTATTCCCACGGTCAGGAACAGCTGTCCCAGCCCTACTGTTCCTTGTTCCCAGGGTTGGGAACAGCCATTCAGGTTCTGATGTTCCCTAATCCTAGGGTTGGGAACAGTCACTTTGCCTCTGCTGTTCTGTATTCCTGGGATTGGGAACAGCTGCTGTGGTCCTGCTGTTCCCTAATCCCAGGGTCAGGAACAGCTGCCCCTATCCTGCTGTTCCCTATTAACAGGGTCAGGAACAGCCACCCTGGCCCTGCTGTTCTGTATTCCCAGGGTTGAAACACCACCCTGTCCCTGCTGTTCACTATTCCCTAGGTTGGGAACAGCTGCCCCAGACCTGCTGTTCCCCATTCCCAGGGTCAGGCACAGACTCTCCCCATCCCTGCAGAGCCCTTGTGGTGCACACACCCCCCAGTGCCCCCATGCCCGCAGAGGCCTTTGCACAGTTCCCTCTGCTCGTGTTTGACACCATTAAAGTGTTGATTTACTATTTAACTTCCTCGAGCTGTGCCCTCTGTGCGCCCCCCAACACCGC